ACCTTGTTTAATTTAAAAAACTAGCAAGCAATGGAGAGTGACCAAGCGTCGTACGAGGCTGCTCTTGCAGAGGATCGTTCAAGTCGGAAACTTATCAAATATTTCAAATCTGTTAGAAAAAGGCAATCTTTCTCACCTAATAAACGTTGGAAGAAGAAAAAAGAAACAAAAACCAACTGAAATGGCTAACATGTTTAAAGAGTTCTTCCAATATACTTTTCATCCTTGATACAGCGGCCGAACTTGACTATCTATGTCCCCATCAGCCCTGTGAAGTGAGCGATTTTGTTAGTCCTGAGGAGAAAAACTACGGCCATTATCAAGCAGAGCACCCAACGAACTCCCACTTGCTCTATTTAAAAACCTCCCAGCTCTTGCAAAACTTCATATTTTTGGAGAAATTTTGAGAACCGGTGTTTTTACATCACACTGTAAAAATAGGACGAATCAAACCTATGTCAAAAAGGGCACTGAAACTGATGTCGAAAACTAGAGACCAATTACACTTGTCATCATTACTGCAAAAACCTTGAAAAAGCGTGTAAAATCTTGAAAAAATCTTGTAAGGCTGGAATTTTTGTTTGCAGATAGGGGTATCTTCAAACAAAAATCCCAGCCTTACAACATGGCTTCACCTAATGACGTTCAAATGTTACCCAACTAAATTGCTTTCTTGATGATATATACAAAGGTATCGATGTGCCACATCAGACAGTTGAAACCACTTATTGTGATTTTTTCAACAATAAAATTTTATTTGACCATAACAACGGGCAAAGAAGATACCATTATAATATTACAACGAAGAGCATTATTGCAATGAAGATCCATTATAGCGGCTGGAATTTCCTTGATTGCTTGGTGGTACAGAACGGAGCATAACTCGCATTGGATCGTGTTTTCTTTACGCTTCTGTTCGCACTACCACAGAGGTACTTAGTGCTTTTCGTTTTATGTTCGTTTTATTGGTTCAAAGACCTTGTGTAATTTAAAAAACTAGCAAGCAATGGAGAGTGACCAAGCGTCGTACGAGGCTGCTCTTGCAGAGGATCGTTCAAGTCGGAAACTTATCAAATATTTCAAATATGTTAGAAAAAGGCAGTCTTTCTCACCTGCTAAACGTTGGAAGAAGAAAAAAGAAACAAAAACCAACTGAAATGGCTAACATGTTTATAGAGTTCTTCCAATATACTTTTCATCCTTGATACAGCGGCCGAACTTGACTATCTATGTCCCCATCAGCCCTGTGAAGTGAGCGATTTTGTTAGTCCTGAGGAGAAAAACTACGGCCATTATCAAGCAGAGCACCCGACGAACTCCCGCCAGCTCTATTTATAATCCTCCCAGCTCTTGCAAAACTTCATATTTTTGGAGAAATTTTGAGAACCGGTGTTTTTACATCACACTGTAAAAATAGGACGAATCAAACCTATGTCAAAAAGGGCACTGAAACTGATGTCGAAAACTAGAGACCAATTACACTTGTCATCATTGCTGCAAAAATCTTGAAAAAGCGTGTAAAATCTTGAAAAAAAATCTTGTAAGGCTGGAATTTTTGTTTGCAGATAGGGGTATCTTCAAACAAAAATCCCAGCCTGACAACATGGCTTCACCTAATGACGTTCAAATGTTACCCAACTAATTTGCTTTCTTGATGATATATACAAAGGTATCGATGTGCCACATCAGACAGTTGAAACCATTTATTGTGATTTTTTCAACAATAAAATTTTATTTGACCATAACAACGGGCAAAGAAGATACCATTATAATATTACAACGAAGAGCATTATTGCAATGAAGAGCCAATATAGCGGCTGGAATTTCCTTGATTGCTTGGTGGTACAAAACGGAGCATGTCTCGCATTGGATCGTGTTTTATTTACGCTTCTGTTCGCACTACCACAGAGGTACTTACTAGTGCTTTTCGTTTTATGGTTCGTTTTATTGGTTCAAAGACCTTGTGTAATTTAAAAAACTAGCAAGCAATAGAGAGTGACCAAGCGTCGTACGAGGCTGCTCTTGCAGAGGATCGTTCAAGTCGGAAACTTATCAAATATTTCAAATCTGTTAGAAAAAGGCAAGCTTTCTCGCCTGCTAAACGTTGGAAGAAAAAAAGAAACAAATTCAACTGAAATGGCTAACATGTTTAAAGAGTTCTTCCAATATATTTTAATCCTTGATACAGCGGCCGAATTTGACTATCTATGTCCCCATCAGCCCTGTGAAGTGAGCGATTTTGTTAGTCCTGAGGAGAAAAACTACGGCCATTATCAAGCAGAGCACCCGACGAACTCCCACCAGCTCTATTTAAAGACATCCCAGCTCTTGCAAAACTTCATATTTTTGGGGAAATTTTGAGAACCGGTGTATTTCCATCATCCTGAAAAATAGGACCAATCAAACCTATGTCAAAAAGGGCGCTGAAACTGATGTCGAAAACTAGAGGCCAATTACACTTCTCGTCATTGCTGCAAAAATCTTGAAAAAAGCGTGTTCAACTCGTTATGCGCCCATCTTCAAACAAAAATCCCAGCCTTACAACATGGTTTCACGAAATGACGTTCAAATGTTAGCCAACTAATTTGCTTTCTTGATGATATATACAAAGGTATCGATGTGCCACATCAGACAGCTTAAACCGTTTATTGTGATTGTTTCAAACTTTTTGATAAGATTAGCCACCAAATTCTCATTGCCAAGCTGTTCAATCTATGAGTGGGCGGCAAACTACTAAGAACCAATTTCGAAGCTCAAGAACTATATACCTCGGTTTGGTTTTCCTGCAATTTGACTAAGATAAGAGTACGTTGCTTAATGAGCGCGCTTTGCTTCTTATTCAACCTATTTTTCCTCTTAGCCTTAGCAACAAGAGTTTTGAAGTTTTCGCCGTACCTGAGAATGATTCCGAAAGTTTTCATCTCTTAGGCTGGTGTTATGCCAAATTTTGTTTTAGCAACCGCGTATCTTTGGCGTTACGTTTTCACATAAAATGACTGACTATACCGGAGGTTAGCACACCTGAACTATTTCATTTCTCAAATGTTTCCCTAGTTTCGGTGCGTTGACAATGCACGATGGCACTAATTTCACTCGATTGTTTTTTAAGATAGCTACATATTTATCATCAGACAAGGAGTTGAAGGTTTTGCTACGATGCCTACTAACTGAGTTTTTTATGACGTCATGCCAAACAGGATATTCGAGTGATGGTACAAAATGACTAGTAATGTTGTACAGTCTTACGAGGGTTATCGGCGTTCGTGTTAAAACTTAAACCGGGTATGGCTAAGTAGGTATCAATGAGTTGATTACGAAGTGACGCGAATATCTTTTCTAACACGTGATGTAACGGGCTTGCACCGACAACAAAAAAACATTAATGCTTTTATACCGAAAAAAGGACGCTGCGGATTTAATAAACTCACATAAATTTTCGGGTAGATTTAGGGGGTGTCGTATAAACTAAGTCAAAGTCCCTTTAGCCACTCGGAGTAAACCTGTGGTCGCCGGAGGTCAAACTAACTTATATACTGGTTTTTTTGAGCTGATATTAATAAGACAGGAAGTTTTCAGGCGTTCCAGTCACGGGCGTTAATTTTTGTCAAAAAGTTATTTTTTGACTTTTAAAAAAAAATTTGCAGGTTTTTGATAGCTGGAGATTAACCGGGTTCCAATAAATTGGGTTCAAAATGTCGGCCCTAAACTTCAAAAAAAATTATAACACTTCTATTTATACAATCTGGGCCCAAAAATTTTTAAAAAAATTGAGACACTTGCTATTTTCAGTCAAGGTATTTTCTCGAAAAAAAGGTCCAGTACTTGTTACCGTGTTCTGCCATTTTTAGCATTCATCATAATTTAGCATGCAAATCATATAAATTAGCACATGAGATGAAATGGAGAAAAAAAATGAAAATTTCGCTTGAAAATGTGCACGGCTATTCAAGTCGCCTGCACAACGGTAGTCACTTGCACACTGTGGAACAACCTGCACCCACTGCCTGCACACTGCAGCTACCGCAACCTCTCACGATACCATTTATAAAGGGCTCTGTACCGGGTGGGGTGGAGGGGGGGGGGAGGTTGGGTCCACCCTCAACTTCTTTATTCTTTCTAAATCTGTTACTGAAGGCCTCCTGTTGTCCCAGCTTTCTGCTTCTCCCGAAAAGCTGTCAAAAGCTTGTGCTGGTCCAAAACAGTATTTCGCAGAGAAAAAGAGTAATTTCATCAATATTGTCGCTTTTCAAATTGTCACTTTTTACAGTTCTTAATAATCAATAACACGCGATATTTCATCACCAACATTTTGAGCGTGTGATCAGTTTCACACTTTTGGCAAAACACGGTTTTGACAGACAAAAACCTGTCAATCAAGTTCGACCAGGCCCGTTTTATGAACTAATTTAAATAGCTAAGCTTTTTAGTTTGTGGGGAGTTCGAACCCGGTTAAGGAGCGTTTTTTTATGTTCTCTCAAGTTTGTCTCATATTTGAGTTTATAAAGAAAACGACCTAGGTTGGGTGCGCACCTGCGCCGAACCGCCAAAACCCACTGTGTATACGCCCGGCCACTGCCCTTGTAATACCTGCAACTAATTTAAACTAATTGCGAGGTTATATTCCTAATGTAATTTTTATTTGCTCAGCAACAGAACACGCAAAGAAACCGAAAAAAAAACACTATTTATTTACAAAAAAAACTTCCAAATTTCGATATTAAAAAAAGATGGCCTTAAACCTCCTTGATTTTTACGAACATCTTATATCGTTAACCTTTTTGATAAAGTCGACCCAATTGCAGAAAACTGGATTATCAGGTAAAATTTTTATTCCGCTGGGAAATCTTTAAAAAAAATTCCACTTTCGAAACGAAGTCGCTGTCACGTTTTTGGTGACTTCAACACTTTTGCTGTTCAATATTGGTGTTTACCTTCCTTTTAATTAAATTTAGCTTGAATTGAGTGTATTTTTTGGGTGTGTGATAATATATTAAATCGACCTCGCTTCGTACAATCTATCAATACTGCATTCGTGGAAGATTAACCGATTGGACATGTGATCATCAGCATTTATGCTCAAATAACTGGAGTTTAATCGGAACAATATATTTTTGTTGATATTTTTGATGACGACATTCTTCATAGGACCACCCTAAATAAAAATGGTTTCGACGAAATGATTGCAATAGTTATCACTTTGAAATTCCCGCAAGATTTCTTTTTTCTTCTCAAAACTTTTTAAAGACGCCTTCAAAATATAATAATTTTAAAACTAAGCGCAAGCACCAAAAAAACGCAATTTAAAAAAAAAACATTTCAAAAATTGCAAGTAAAAACGTTTTTTTTCTCAAAAATAAGCCTACGGAGTAGAGTTTTTGTCAAAATAGGGTCTTCAAAGTGTTCTAGGGGTGCTCGGAAAATCACTTTGATGCATTTTTTTGCAACCCCCCCCTCATAATAACCCTAGATCCGCCCCTGCTCAAAATTTTTCTCAAAAACCACTGAACTGAGGTTCATTTTGATTTCATTAGGAGCTCAGGTTGACCTCCACATTAGAAAAAAACTGCAAACCATGCTAAGTCCATGGATTGAGTAAATGGATAAAATGGTAATCAGATAATTTTCATTCATGAAACTTTATTGTAGATCTTTTTCCTTCCCCCCCCCCCACCCCACCTCACATACGCATCAATTTCATGGTGTAACGAGTGGTTTTACAAGATTGAGTATGAACCGCAAATATGTTTGACATGGCCTAATTATTCCGTATGCCAAATCTTAAAACAATCCAAAAATGGGAAAGAAAATTCAACTCTAAAAGTGGGCGGGGGGAGGAGGAAAAAGAGCCTATAATTGTGAGCTTTTCTTCTAAAAAAACTCGAGTGCGATAAAAATAATGCTAAATAAACCATTCATAAACTTACTTCAGCAGAATTTGGAAGTGTGAATTCCGTTGGTTTCGAAGCACCTTGGATATTGAGCAGACATATATGGTAAAGTTTGGCTGTAAAACCGCCCTCGTTGAGTTTGAAATTGTTCCATACCAATTTTTCAAGGCCCTTTATGTCAATCCTGTGCGCTCCATTGACATATAGGAGCGTAACTGGGCGGCCTGCAATTTGAAATCCATTCACTATTGGCTCGATATTCGATACCTTTGAGATATTGTAAATCGCTAGCTGTGTGTTCTTGTGCTGGAACTCCCATCGTGGCGAGTGCAGATTATTTTGGTTCAAAATTCTGAAGTTTTCATCAATCTTTGTAATTCGATGATCATCTATTAGAACTGTAGGATCCAAATGAGACTTCGGTAAAATATTATAGTCTGAAAAATTGCCAATGCTATAAAAACTGAGATATCGGCTGGGGAAACTAAAACTTAAAATCCTTTTAATAAGCCATTCATGTTTTTGTGACCCTCATACTTTTGTTATTCGATAGTCGAGTTTGTCAGCGAAAACTCAAATGGCAGTTTAACAAGTTTTAAGACGTTTTTCGGAGAAAAAAAAACAAAAATTATCAAGACCTTAAAAAGAGTCTTCACTATCTTCAGCGACCCGTAATAAACAATAGTTGTGTTTGAATGACATGTCTTGAATGTCAGGTGTGCGACAGGCTCTTTTTCCTTTTCCTCCCACGTGCAAAGTTTTACTAGTGAAATTTTGTTACCGAAGGTTACCAAAATTGGCATGCAAACTCGTTACACCATAAAATTGACGCTTATGTGAGGTGGGGGGGGGGGGGGAAGAAAAAGAGCCGTGCGACTTATGACTTCATTATTGGGCCGCGCATCTAAATTTCTCGAGCAAAATCCTTATTCGTGCTGAAGTTGAGGTTGCGTAAAATGTTTATATTTTTTTAGCGATCGAAAAAAGCTCCATGAGAGTAAAGAGTTTGAAACAGTCGCCCGGAAGAACATACCGATGGAAAGAAAAGCTAGGTCCTAAAAGGATTGGATACCATAGCCAAGGTCCTACCATAGCCAATTCAATGTGGTTCTCGTAACATCGTGTCGAAAAAAAAATAACTACTGCTTCAAGGCTATCAGCCGAGCCCTGCAAATTAGCCTACCTTACATGAAAAATAGTGAGCTCATTGCTGTGTCTGAGTCCCCAGACCACGAGGTCACACCTAAAAACGGGATTGACACGCTATCACTTTTAAGTTTCTACATCACTATTTTTTTTGTACAATCCATCGGAGATGGGATCGACCCTTTCCCTCAATTCCTAGCTTCGCATGATCTGAAAACGAATTTGCACGTTATAAAATTAAAGCCAGGACAATCTGGGAAACCAAACTATGTGAAAATGTGCCAGTCGGTCATTTTTGGAAGTTTGACCTTGAGCTGAACGTTTGTCTTGATTTTGGGGAGAAAAGTAATTTTTCAAAATTTCGAATTGAGCCTATCATGCTCAGGTTTCTCGCTACAACTGAAATTACGAAAATAAAACGATCAGAAGAATCGAGTTATAATCGCGGGAAAGTTGTGTGCCAGTCGGTCATATCTGGAAGTTTGACCTTGAGGGACACGAAAATACGTGATTTTGGAGTGAAGTTTTAATTTTCAAAATTTCGAATGGAGCCTGTCATACTCAGTTTTCTCGCACCAACTGAAAACACAAAAAAGAAGAATCAGAACGACCGATTTACAATCGCGGGAAAGTACTTGAATAAAACAGCGGGAAATTGATATTCTCAATTTCCCGATACAAAATAAGACACGAGTAGAGCTGTCTTATCCTGAAATAGGAGGAGAAATATTCAAAAGAAGAGAGAACAACTATTCTAAACAAACCGGAGTGAGCCTTCAATGGAAAGGCGGACAGCTTGAGTGTCCCAATGGTTCATACAATGTAACATTCGTCTACTGCAGTCACACATGAGGCTTAAGAAAAATAGGCCCTATAACCACTGGCTCAAGGGTCAGGGACACTATCTCTTGTGTTTTTCTACCTCAAGAACGGTCGGAGCCAGTTCGGTTCGCTTGTGACATGAGACTACGACCCGTTACAGCTTAAAGGCTACTACTAAAATATCCCCCCACTCTAGAATTAGAAACGTCCCCATACTTAGGTCTCTAGATACCCAAAATACATGAACGCCGTTAAAAACCGGGTTGGAACAATCCGTTAAGTTACTTTTTATTAGACAGTGTAACTTTGATCCATTTCAGATGGATCAACCTAAAACTCGCCTTACCTCAACATAACAATCATAAAACACACTCTAGAAATTTAAATTAAGGACTCACATGTTGATGCGCTCAAGCACAGGAAGTAATTAAATGGGTGAGCAACTCTAGAATTAACTAAAATAACTAGATAAGTTCAATGTTTATCAGTTTGAATGGTAAGGGTAAGTTTGAACTCAAGAACGAAGTTTTATGTGGACCATTGGGACACTCAAGCTGTCCACCTTTCCGTCGAAGGTTCACTCTGGTCCAGTTCGAATAATTACTCTCTCGGGAATACTCTGTCTTCTATTTCAGATAGGACAGCTCTACTCTTGTTCACTATGATGGAAATTGCGAATAGCAATTTCCCACTTGTTTTTATCTGACAACTTTCCCGCTATTGCTCTAAAATTGTTCTTTTTTCTTTTTCTGATTTTCAGTTCTCGCGAGAAAATCGTGCATGACATGTTCCATTCGAAATTTTAAAAATTTAAATTTCACTCCAAAATCAAGTGTTTTCTGCTCTTCTCAAGGTCAAACTTCCAAATATGACCGACTGGCACATACTCCCCGGACTCGAGATCGATGTCCTCATCGCGCGCTGTCTTCTGCCAGTGAGTCCCAGAAAAACCGAGTGTTGCTCAAGATACAGTGCCAGTGGTCATTTACAGAAGTTTGCAGCAGATTTAAGATTATCTACACCCCAAAATTCACGACCATTTAAAATTTTCACACTATTGCTAAATAGCAACCAAAATCTGCATTTACCTGCACCTTTGAATTTTCGCTTTTCAAGCCAATCATTTAAAAATCTCTTTTGTCCTATTCAATCAGGAAATTGTCATGCAGCATTTTGATTTATATAATAGATATAGTATATTAGTAACAATATTTGCTTTGTTAAAATTTCTTTTTCGTGAATCCAAGTTTCACTCGGATTCACACTCAAGCCCCCTTTCCCTCTCAAGACTCAAGATCCATCCGATTTGCCCATTCATCTCGTACTCTTCGCCTTGGAGGTACTGCATCCTGAAGTGCTAGATGCGGCAAACTGTCTCAACAGTTCCTCTTCATCATCGGAACTAATCACAATCTCCTCCCAAGCCTTCAGCTGTTCATAGGATCGCATCCATTCTCTCTGCTCCTGCAATCTCTTTGCTTGGTTGGGTAGTGCCTTCACCCTAGCTTCTCGGTTCAAGCAAAAGGAGTTGTGCAGGCTCAAGCTCACGTTCTTCGCCAGGTCTTCCTCTAGTATCGACTCCCTCGCTTTGGTATTGTCTCTAGACATCTTACCCACTCTCTTCCATCCCGTCGTGATCGCATTACGATGGGTTAGCAGGGGTCTCTTGAAAGCTTCCGGCCCAATCTCGGCCTGGAACTGTCGATACTCCTTTTGATGTTTTCTCATGTGATCTTTCGTTGCCCTGTACAGCCAAGACGTCAGTGTCGCCCGAAACCATGGAAAGTACCTCAAGCGACTCCATACGTGCCTGACTTCCGTCGGTATGGCGAATACTTTGCACGCAGTCTCAAACAACTCAAGTCTCCTGCTGTAGTCTATCGCGTATATTGACTCAGCCGTTGGCGTCGTCGCCTCCCGATACTTCGTTATATTCTCTTCTATCCATCTCAGAGCTAACATCGTACTCACTACTAAGAGCGTCACCTTCTGCCGGTGATCCGGTAGTCCGATCGACCGAATCTCTTCCACATCCCACACCAGGCAAAGGTTCTTGTGATCTGGATACCACACCGTTTGTGCCAAACAGTGGCATGGGCATTCCCCATGAGAGATCTCAATGCTCCTGAGATTACGCTCCCCTGAGGCTTCCAAGAGAGGCTCAAGCTCCATCATTTTCTCGTGCATCGTGTCGTTGTCTTCCAGGTTTGGAGTACTTCCCACAGGTTTCCCGATCACGTTTTGTCTCTCGTGATCGCTTGTGTTTTCTCTTTCCAACTTCAGAAGATCTTCTCCCCAGATTTCGCTTAAGTCATCTCTCAATTCTTTTGGTACTGTCCCTTTGATTTTTCTCAACAACTTGTGCGAGTGATGCGACATCCGAGCCAACCTCACGCACTTGGGCACTGAGAAGGCCTTGTCCACCAGTATTCTCTGGCTGGACACTTCCACCATCGCCATGTGTAGCGGGTAGTGACTTCCGCACAAGTTGGCCATCATTGACCCTATCAGCGATTTCGCGTTCAATGGCAAGCCATAAGCTTCGCTCAGGGGAAATCCCATTTCCGCCTCAAGACCAACTTTCCAGCTCCGGATGTGTTTTTGAGTCACCTGCAACACCCCGGGCCATGATTCTACGCTCAACGCCGTCACTAAATGATGTTCAGACTCCAGTCTCTCCAGTGCCTGCAGACCACACATTCTCGAGAAGAATCCGAGAGCTGTCGCGATATTCACCGTGGTTCTCGCGTAACATTCCGCTATTATTTGCACTTCACTTTTCTCCCTTTCTGTGATGTCTTCGAACCAAGTGACCAGGTCTTCTTTTTGAAACGACAGTATTCTGACGCATGACCGTCCATCGCAGATGTGCTCTCCGTTCCCACACGTCGAATCCAGACAGCTACCCGGCTCCAATTTCTTCGCTGACCCGGGGTCGCTCGTCCTTTCGCTTGGCTCTTGCATCTGGGGTGTGATTAGCTTATGTAGCACACTCAACTTCGCCAGATCTTCATCTTCCGTTGGTGCTAACCTCACTCGCTCGGTGGTTTCCTCGATTAGACTCGCATGGGGATGTGGACACCAGGAGGGTCTTAGTAGCTTCCATATCACTCCCAAGTTCGTGGTTAACAAGCCATCTCCACCGCCCATGCTCACTTCAACTCTCTTGTTTGAGCGCGGTATGCTCATCACCTCTGGTGTTTTCTCAAGAATCAGGCCCAGGCTCGGCCCCTCTTTCTCCACCGCGTCTATCTCCATTATCCTTTCTGTCCAAAACTTCAGTAGCTCCGCTACCTCATGGTTTCTGTGGGCTCCTCCAGCTTCCGAGTCTAAGAAGGGATTGTAGGCTATTCCCATCACTCCAGACACATATTGGTATTCCCCCTTCTCACTGAGTCTCGAGTACTGTTCTGACGAGGCCAGGTTACGGTGAACATCATGTTCTTCCTCGAACTTCTTATTAGA